CCCAAGCCCACCCCCGGCCCGACCTGGTTTCAGCACCACGGACAGCGCCGGCTCCGTCTTTTGGGGGCGCCGAGGCCAGACTGCGTCTTGGCTGCACAGAGCGGCCCCACCCCGCGGACAAACCCTGGTGGGAGGATTGGGGTGGATGGGCTTGGGGTCGGGAGATGTGCAGGCTAAGGGCCTCCTAGCTAGTCTGTCCTCAGGCGCCGCGCCGCCCTAGGAAACACGGCCTGACACCCCGTCAGAGAGGACTGCTCACACACACACCCTTGGTTTCCTGTCCCTCAGGGAAGGAAATATCCTCAAGAAGTTCCCCTTTCATTGACATAGGGCTCAGGGTCCGTCGGATAACGAAGGGGTGAACTATCGGGAGGCCGACGGAGGTGTTGTCTCGGAAGCATGGAAGGCATTCCACGTGCTCGGGCCCACGAGGGACCTTGCTGAGACCGGGAAACCGCAGAGAGGTGGCCTCAGAGAGAGGGCCCTGCCGTGGCGGAGAGGAACAGCAGAGGCCGGAGGAGCTGGGAGGAGCTGGGGAGGAGTGTTTTGCATGCGTATGTGCCGGACTCCCCAGAACTGCGAGGAGGGGCCGAGACCCAGTCACAAGCTGTCTCTCCCTGAGCCCAGACTGCTCCCCATCTGACGCTGCGGTGAGGCTTCCAGGCTCAGTCCCAGCCTGTGCCCACAGGGTCTCTCCCTGCAGATGAATTCGAGACAAGCCCCCCACGCCCCACAGTGCTTCCTCAGGCCTCCGGGGCACCCCAACCCCCGGTGGGTCCTGCGTGGAGAGGATGCCATGCCAGGAGAGTCTTGGGGGCCCCCTCCTCTGTCCACGTGAGAGGGGCTCCGAGAAACCCATCTGGAGAAGTAGGCGTCGGTCTTCAGAGGTGACAGGCAGGGTTTCAGGGTGCAGGAGGAAGGGAGGGTCCACCCCGCTGTGTTCCAGGGGGAGAAGAGCTCAGCTTTCGCTTCCCCTGCAGTGGAGAGGGGTTATTCCTGTGGCAGGGAGAGAGTGCTCAGTTCCCTTTCCACCCAGCAGCCGCACCCCCCCACCCCGGCCCCACCTCCAGGCTGGAAGAGGCAAATCAGATGGTGTCAGGTGAATCTAGAGGGTCCTTTGCAGCCCAGAGATGCTGCTGCCGCTGCTGTGGCCTCCACCGCAAGGGCAACAAAGGTCTGAGGAAGAATTTACGGGGTCCCTGGAGGATGCTGGTGCAGGCACATCTGTCACCTTCAGTGAGTGACAGCAAAGGAAGGCCCGCCTGTGCATCTCGTCCCTTTCTCTAGTTCAACCCATGGGTGATCTGGACTGACTTTTGCCCACTCGGCACCCACCTTCAGATCCCAGAGGTAGCCAGCAGACGGCAAAATCCCCTTCTGTTCACGAGCTCTATCAAGACCTGGAAGAGAGAACTCTCTGAACATCAGACTCTCCAAGGTGCATACTTTAGGATGGTGAGATCTTATGTGAAATATAGCTCCTAATATATGACACTGCCTCTGGATGGGACAAGTAGCCCAGGGTCCCAGGAAAGAATGCCGTGGGCCAACTCGCCTGTCTACTTCCCAGCTCAGCCCTGCACTTGGCGATGGCTCCTGTTACTCTGGGGACCACTCTAGATGCTTCTCTCTCCCACCCACCACACCTCCCTTCAAGTTTAACTTCCCCAGAGTATCTTCCATCTGAAGTCTTCCCGTGCAGGGGCGGGGCTGGGTTCTCCCCTTCCCCAACAATCAGAACGGTTTCGTCTGTGGCCTCCTAGCTCACTACCTCTCCCTTCCAGCTCTTTCTCACACTGGCCTCAGAGGGACCGTGTTGACACCTGTACGACTTCACCTCTCTCTCGCTCTACAACCTTCCATGGCTCCTCATTGTCTTCAGACGAAGCTCAAGCCCATCAGCTTGCCTGTCTTCCCCCGCTGCTTGAACGAGTGGAGTATGGGGACCGATTCAAATCTTTTTTTTTTTTTTTTAGTGTTAGTTTGCAAACGAATGAGTGAGTGAGCGAGTAAGTGAATGAATAAATGAACATGAATGAAACGAAGGTGTGTGATGTTTCTCTTACCTCCTCGGGACCCTTTTCTGCTTCTGGTGCCTCTACGGGCTATCTTAAAACCCATCCCTACCAGGCCACTTCCTTGTGGGTCCCAAGGCCGTGACCGACAGGGGGCTGGCCAGGTGGGACTTCCAGTGCAGACGGCCGTGCACGAGCCAGGAGGCAGGACGCGAGGGCCCTTGTCCTCCCTTGCTGTCTTACTTGGGTGAGGCCCTCACCTCCTCTGAGCCTCAGAGATCGTTGGCCACACGCAGAAAGGGGATTGGACGATCTCGAAGAGTCAGTCACAGCTGCGTTTTCATGCGTCAAAGTCCCCTCTTTGGGGCTTGTGATCTGTTCTCACCACAGGCTTCCTGCCTGTCTCCTCTGCCCTGTTTTATCTGCAACTTTCCCCTCTCTCTGAGGGACCCCAGAAGGCAGGCTGTGCCAGGGCATGACGGAGGAATGTTGCTGAGGCTGCTGCTGTTGCTGCCTGCGTCGTGGGGAGGTGAGTGGGCTGAGGGGATAGCGGACCCCACTTGGGGGAGGCCCAGGAGCTCTGGTCTGAGTTTCTCTCTCTCTCCAGGGCTCCTGACTCAGCCTTGGGGGTACCAACTGGATCTACAGGAGTCTGTGACAGTGCAGGAGGGCCTGTGTGTCCTCGTGCCGTGCAAATTTTTCTACCCGAGTATCTCCTTTGGACCCCGCTACCTGTTTTGGTTCCAGAAGGGGGTAAATATGAATGATGATCGTCTAGTGGCTACAAACAAACCAAGACAGAAGCTGCAGGAGAGGGCCCAGGGCCGGTTCTTCCTCCCCAGAGACCCTGGACCCAATGACTGCTCCTTGACCATCACAGACGTCAGCAGGCGGGACAGTGGGATGTACTTCTTTCGAATGGAACACTACACCAGGAGCTACTCATATCGAAATAAGATGCTCTCTCTGAAGGTGACAGGTGCGGCAGGGGCTCAAAGAAAGGCCCCAGGGTATGGGGTGCCAGAAATAGAAAAACGAAGGCTCTGTTCCTCTCGGGGCTGGGGTGGGGACAGCCACGACAAAGCCCCGGGACCGGCTGAACACACCGAGAGGCCCTAACTTCCTTTCTCTCCTCACCAGCTCTGACCCACAGGCCCCACATCCTCATCCCGGGGACCCTGGAGTCCGGCCGCCCCAGGAACGTGACCTGCTCTGTGCCCTGGGCCTGTGAGCGGAGCACACCCCCCATCTTCTCCTGGACGTCGGCTGCCCTGTCCTCCCTGGGCCCCAGGACTCACCTCTCCTTGGAGATTAACCTGACCCCAAGGCCCCAGGACCATGGCACCAGCATCACCTGTCAGGTGCATTTTCCTGCAGTTGGTGTGACCGTGGAGAGCACCGTCCAGCTTAACGTCACCTGTGAGTGCCGGGCCAGGACGCTCGGGTCCTTGAGGGGTGGGGCTAGAGCAGAGCTGGTCCAGGGCTTGAAGTAGAGGTTCTGGTAGACCACCAGGAAGGGAGCCGCTTTTCCATGGCCCTGGGGGTCAGGGGTGAAGCCCAGTGCCCACCCATCCCTCGCCACAGATGTTGAAGCTGCCACACCCTCCTATCACAGATGCCCCACGGGACGTGGCCATCAGCGTCTTCCACGGAAACGGCACAGGTGGGCAAAGACCTCTTCTTCCCAGGGCTGGGAGGGACACTCAGAGCTCCAATGGTCCAGGGACTAAGTGGGGTATGTACAAGAGGCCAGCTACTGAAGTCAGACGGGACGGGGGCGGAGAACACGGGTGGTGAGTCGCCCCAAAGCTCAGCTCCCTCAGGTTACTCTTTCGCTCGCCCACAGCTCTCTGTGGCCAGTTCCAAAGGGCGCTCACACCCCTCCCCCTCCCCCCTGTCTCTGATGTTTTACCTCCTCCTGCTCCCCTGGACTCCTCTCTGGCCAGTAACTGCATTTGTTTGCCATATCCCTGTCCACGGCCCTCTGACCCCGTTTGCAGAGCAGCCTGGGCAGCTCCAGGGAAGTCTGGGCCTCTTCAGAAGGCCCAAGGCCGGGACTCTGCCGGTCCCCACCTCAGAGCTAGTGTGGACATCGCAGGAGGAGGGAGACCCCAGCTTCGTCCACCCCATCACCCTCTCTCTCTCTCTCTCTCTGCGCTTCCTTCTCCCCAAAGCCATCAAGATTCTGCAAAGCACCTCGTCCCTTCCCATCCCGCAGGGCGAGGCTCTGCTGCTGCGCTGCGCTGCTGACAGCAACCCCCCCGCAGAACTGAGCTGGTTCCGGGGGCCCCCAGCCCCAAATGCCACCCCCATCTCCAGCACCGAGATCCTGGAGCTGCCTCGAGTGGGGACTGCAGAGGAAGAAGAGTTCACTTGCCAAATTCAGCACCTGTTGGGCTCCCGAAATGTCTCTCTCAGACTCTCCATGGTCTGTGAGTGTGGGAGCCTCTGGGGGAGGGATACCTGGGTGCTGGGGGAGGGGAGAGGCACCAATGACCTTTCTCCTCTGTCCCCAAAGACTTTCCCCATGGCTGCTGGGACCCTCCTGCCCCTGGGAGGACGAGGGGCTGCACTGCAGCTGCTCCTCCTGAGCCCGGCCGGCCCCCTCCCTGAACTGGCCACTGTGGGTCTGCTGGGGGGAAAATCAGAGTCACAGCCACCTCCAGCTCAGTGGGTCCTGGACCAGCAGCTCCCGGAGCCTCAGCAGGGGGCTCAGCTCAAGCCTCAGACTCATACGCAAGGCCCAGGATGCCCACAGGGCCGAGCGCCACTGTCCTGCTGCTTCAGGTCAGGAGTCTGCAGGGGGAGAAGCCTGGGCCCTTGTAGCAGTTTCTTAGGACGGCGAGGAGAGATGCCCCCACCCGGGGGCCTAACTACAGAGGTCCATGGCTCACAGGTCTGGAGGCCGAAAGTCCGAGATCAAGGTGTCGGCAGGGTCGGTTCCTTCCGAGGCTGGGAGTGCGTTACCGGTCTGTCCCTCAGCTTCTGGGGGTTCACCGGCCTTCTTTGGCACCCCTTAGTTTGTAGACGCATCGCCCATAACCAACCCCGCCTCCAATCTGGCATTCTCCCTGTGTGTGTGTGTGTCTGTGTGCGAATCCCCCATCTAGCATCGCTGCCCCGCCTCCAATCTGGCGTTCTCCCTGTGTGTGTGTGTGTGTCTGTGTGCGAATCCCCCATCTTGATGAGGATGGCAGTCATATTGGATTAAGGGCCCACCCTCGTGACCTCATTTTCACTATTACCTCTCTCGAGACCCTAATCTCCAGATAAAGTCACACTCCGAGGTACGGGGCATGGTGGGAGATCCTGGAGGGTTAGGACTGCAACATATGAATTTGCGGGGCACACGATTCAAGCTATACAGCTTCAGAGAGAAGCAGCTCAGAGAGACACCCTAAGGCCCAGACTGGAGTGGCTGGGGGCGCAAGATCCTCATCCCTGAGGCCAGCGAAGGGGAGCATGCTAGGGAAAGGGCTGGTCCAGGGTCTACAAGGCAACAGAAGACTGAGTGACATGTCCTGGACGGGGAGGGGACACACATGGAGACAGAAGTGGCCAGTTGGGAGGACGCCATGGATTGGAGTTGGAATTTACACAAAATTCAAATTATCTACAGCTAAACCAGAGTCCAGGGCCAGTACGATCATGGGAGTGATCGGGGGAGCTGGCGTCATGGTCCTGCTTTCTCTCTGCCTTGGTCTCATCTGCAGGTGAATGTGGGCTCCGGGGATGGGAAGAGATGCCTGGGGTGGGAAAGGCTTAAGGTCATGGGATCTCAGAAAACCTGAGCTGGAGGACCCTGGACTGGTCAGAAAGCCAGGAGCCAGGGAAAGGAGGCTGAGTGTGGGCATGAATCAGCCCATAACCAACTGGGCCAAGAAGCGGGGCTCTTCCCAGCTACTCCTGGTCCAGGTCTCTCTTGGGTTAGGGGAGCACCTGGAGACTGGACCCACCTCCACCCTCCTCCCTGCGTGCTCTGCATAGGGAGTAGGGGTGGTCTGATGGTCTGCCTACTCCATGCCCCAAATAACCAGGCTGAAAAGCCCAGGGCGGTCCCTTAGAGTGAAGACCCACAGGAAGAAAGCAGCCCAGCCAGTGCACCACCTGGATGACGTCGTGGGCTCGGGCTCCAGGGTGAGTGGCAGGACATAGCTCCTATTCAGCATTATTCCTTTTAGCTGCACCCTTGGTAAGGGCCCTTAGGCATTTTTCCGTTAACATGCAACACTCCCCCGGAGTTCCGAAATTGGTTATTCTAAGCTGTAGATTCAGCTGCTCTGATGTTTCTGTTTCTGATGGAGTGCGCATGTAGTCCAGTTGGTTTGTTGCGGGTATTTATGCCCCACGTGTCAGCCTATCCTCTCCTCCGGAATATATATATTTTGTCTCCATACGACAAAATGCAAACATCTCAGGTGTACAGTTCGATGAATTTTTCTTTTCATTCTTTTTTCTCTTTTTAAAAATGATATTGATTGGGGTATCGTTGGTTAATAGCATTCTATAAATGACAGGTTGTCGGAAGCCAGCCGACCAAGTCAAACCGGGTACCTGAATGGGGGAGCGGGGACTGAGAAAAAAGAGAAGACAGACAGGGTGCAGGAGGGAGAACAGATCTCACACTGCCTCTCCGAGTTTATTTCTTCTCCTCCTTTTAAACACAATCTGTTCCTCTGTGTATCCCAAAACAACACAAAAGTAACATCCTGAAGATGGAGGTGCAATTGACACTTCAATTAACACTCCCTTCGACACTCCCTTAGGCTATACTTAATCTTCTTCTTCCTGAAATTCCACAGAACCAGCCTTTTCTTTTCTATGCAAGCAGGCCTCCCGAGACAATCCATGCACTCTTTTGAATTTGGGGAGCTTTAGCTCCCTACAACAGGTGCACAACTGTGTAATGTGACATCTGCATAGTCCATTGGGTGATCGCCGCCCACAGTCTGGCCTTCTCCGAGGACTATGGGTCTTTGCTTCTCTGAGCTCCTGTTTGAGGGTTTCTATTTCATGCTTTTGGTGCCCGAGGGTGTGGTGGGCAGGAAGCAGACATGAGCGAGACATCTGGTTGTCATCATGGGCGCAGGATCTGATCTCCGGCTCTGCCTTCTACCATATGCCACCCCTGCCCTTGCTTTATATTTCATTGAGAACTTGAAATCTGTTTGTTTTACGTTTGTTTAAGTAAATGCCTCTCCTGGAAAACCATGAGCTGCATGGTATCGGGGGCCGTGTCTGTTTTCCTCCTCACTCCACGCACAGCACCCGGCACACTGACCCAACAGAGAAAGACATTCTATAGTTAGAAAGACTGGTTTTGAGTCCTAGCTCAAGGGCGTATGTATATCAATGTGTGCCTCTGGGGCAAAGACTATCTCTCTTAGCCTCGGTTTGACCGTTTGTAAGATGACGGTGATCACAGCATCCTCTCTCATCATTTCTTAAAAGAAATAACGTGATTAATACGAACACTCTCTAAGGAATTGCCAGTCTTAATTATTAAGCATCTTAAAATAAACGAACGGGCAAATGATTAAACTTGCATCAGTCCCAATCCCATTCGGGTCCTTGTTTGCTCCCCACCGACCCCGGGCCCTTTTGACCCGCTTCGAATCCTGTCTCTTTCCACTCAGGCGCATCAGCACCAGTTCTGGGCAGACAGCCTTTCAGGTCACCGAGGCCATGATGGCGCTAGCTCCATCTCAGAAGAGGGACAAGAGCTCCACTATGCTTTCCTCAGATTTCACAAGCCAAAGCCTCAGCATCAGGAAGGCACCAACACCGAGTACTCAGAGATCAAGGTGCACAAGTAAGAAACTATTTTCTCACCGTTCTGAAGGCTGGAAGTCTGAGATCAATGTGGCAGGCTTGGTTTCTTCCAAGGCCTCTCTCCTTGGCTTGTAGGCAGCCGTATCCTCCCTGTGTCTTCACGTGGTCCTCCCTCTGCACGTGTCTGTGTCCTCGTCTCCCCTTCTTATAAAGACACCAGCTCTGTTGAATTGAGGCCCCCCCTACTGACCTCACTTTAACTGAGGTACTGGGGGCTAAGACTTCACCTTATTAATTCTATGATTTTCAGCCCATAATCCTGAGTGTCTGATTTTCAAAAAGTTGATGGCCTTCCTGGCCATAGCATGAAACCTCTAGTACATGTGGAAGACCACAGGACTTGTGTCCAAAAGAACCAAGTTCAAGTCCATCTATACCACTTATCTGCGAGTCGCTTTGCTTCTCCGTGCCTTGCCTTACTGTTCTGCAAAGCAGGAAATCATCCCTATCTAACCAGATGATTGTGAAAGGTTAATACAACGGCACACATGAAACAGATAACAAAAGTCCTGACACGAAGCTTTCGAGAACTCTGAACACATGCTCGAGTCGGGACTCTGTTAGCTGCTGTTACAGAAAACTTCTGCTCACGATTTCCCCTGAGGCTTGGAGAGGCCAATCCCAGAGGCCACGGTCTCAGGTGTCTGTGTCACAACCTGCTCAACAGTCTTCCTGGATCCTCCAAATAAAGTTTATGCCCTTATCCATGCCAACGTCATTTCTTACTAGCCACCCATACTCTGTGCCCATCCCAGAAGCTTCCTCTTAGATTTCCAGCCTCTATTCCTTCAGTGAAACCGAAAAAATGACGACAACAAAACAACAACAAAGACCAAGCAGTAAGGGAAATTCTTAAGAGCAGCCAGGGGGGTGGAAAGAGACAGAATATGTAAAAAAGACCGCAGCTGATTTTTTTCAGGGGCAATCGTGGAAGCTCAGATACAATGGAAAGCTATCTGTGATGTTTTCAGAAAAAATAAATATTAGAAGTCCTGCTTAATGAGCATTATGTTTTGAGACCAAAAGTGAAATAAAGATATTTAAGACACATACGCGAAATGTTAGCATTCGTAACCGAAAGACTTTTCAAAGTAAATTCTAAAGGATGTGATTTGGGTATCAGGAAAGCGAAGCCAGATGGAAGCTCTGAGATGCGAAAAGGAACAAAAAGATAAGAATGTGGCAAATAACGTGAGCTACAGGAAACAAACGTTTACTGCGAAAACGAATGATGTGTAGAGGGGTCAAACGTAAAACATACTACTGAAATACCACACTAGAGTCACATAATTCAGGAAAGTATAAAAAGAATTTGTATTTTATAAAGTCTGTATATCATTCAGGAGAAAATGAAATGGTATGAGAAGCTTTAGGTTTTGAATGTTGTTGTCGTAACCTCAAGGAAACTTTCTAAAAGAATTGATGCCAAGTTTATCATCTCCAAACTAGAGGAAGTATCCCAGGTTCTGTAAACATTATTCAGTTGAACCAGAGAAAACAAGAAATAAGAGGAGAAAAAGAGAACAGAACACATAGAGTACAGATATGAGATTCTGTATTTAGACCCAAATACATTTTTTAAAATCTCATTAAGGACAAATGGACTTAATGCTCCTGATAACATACAAATATAGTCAGAAAAGCACAGCTGTATATTGTTTATAAGAAATCTGTGTAAAACCTAAAAAATCAATTGTTTGATTGACGGTTCTGGGAATGAAGCCTAGTCACGATGACACGTGAAACGGGCCATCACAAGTGTATTAATATCAGAAAACATATGCTTTACAATAAAGAGTGTTAATGGAGATGGATGAGACTGCTTCACAATGATTAAAGGTTCAAGCTACCAGAAAGATACAACATTTGAAACAGGCATGCGTGTGACAATCTGAGGCAAAAACTGGCAAATTAAAAAAAAAACAAACTAGATTAATTCACATTCATAGAGGGAATTTTAATATATATTTTACAATAACTGACGAAACACAAAGACAAGACAATCACTAAGGATGTGTTATATGCTACATATAAGCAAGAGGATTAAGAAACTTGACCTACAGCCACAGATAGAAAACTTCTCCCAATGATGATGGGTTGTAAGCTCTGAGCACACACATGGAGCGTTCAAAATATTTTATCATACACTGGGCTGTGAAGTAAATGTCAACACATGTCAACAGGTGGAAATCACACAGAATGTGTTCTCTGACTCCAAGCTTGTTGGGCTAGAAATTAACAATGAAAACATAACCTATGTTGGATTAATATATATTGTTCCATGTATGATGATACAATATATTATGTAATCAAAAATATCTCTCCAGATAACTATATATGTAACTATTATCATGGAAATTTAGAGGATCCCTTACAAATAAGTCATAGATTAAATAATTATAATGTAAATTTAAAGTTATTTAAAATCAAGTGATAATAAAATGTTTAGTGTAAAACTAAAGTGGTTATTAGAGGAAATATATAAATATATATATATATAACTTCAGTTGTATGTATTAGAGATGAATAAAGTCTAAAATTTGATAAGCTAAGGTTTTATTTCAAGAACTTAGAAAAAGAACAATAAAATAAACTAACAGGAATTAGAAGGAATCACCAGATACCAAGAGCACATATAATAGGAAACATATTCAATAGAGTGGAGTAACATCAAAAACTGTTAGTTCTTTGATACAATAAAACTGACAAACCTCATGTGAGATTAATCCAGGAATAAATATGGAAGGCAAGAATAGCCAGCATCCAGGAATATAAAAAAGACATCGCTTGATGCGGCAGGAATTACCCAGAAAGGAATACACTTTACGGAAATCTTTTATTCCCATAAATTTAAAATCTGTAGTAAATAGGTAAATTCCTAGACAAATTGGTCACTCAAACCTTGGGCCACTGTTGAGCGTGTTTCACTCGCGGACGTCTCAGCGCGGATGAAAGGAAAACCCAGTGTACTGACGAGATTCTGCCAGTAGGGGGCCCCCTTGGCGACGGTCCGCTTCTGGATGTGCCAGAAAATCGTGAAAACCATTCGTAAACCCGGATGGAATGTTTCCTCACCATACGATGGTCCTAAAAATCTTTCCGAGAGGCTACAGGTGTGGTTTCATCAACAATAAATAGACATGGATGGATGGATGGATGGATGGATGGATGGATGGATGGATGGATGTAGATAGATGATAAATAAATAGATGATGGATGGATGGATGGATAGATAGATAGTAGATAGATAAATAAAGCAATAGACCAGGAGTCAGTGTTGCCGGAGACTCACGTGTCCCATCCTCAGATGCCCTCAGCGGCCCTGGTCCCCGCTGTGGGGAAGCCCCTTGGGGAAGGGGCAGAGCATGGGGTCTGCTCTCTGTCTGGTCCTCTCTGGGAGGGTTTCGGGGTCCCTGGGCCGTGGGGTGTCCATGCTCTGTGCAGAGGGGGCCTAAGCTCTTCTTTGAGGTTCCTCTTCCCCGAACGAGACAGCCCCGGGCTCCGCCCCAGCTTCCGAGTCCCCCCTCCACACACACCGCCTTCCTTCTCTTTTCTGCACGGAGCCCAGACGCCTCCAGGCAGAGATGCTGCTGCTGCTGCTGCCCCTGCTGTGGGCAGGTGAGTGGACGCGGGGAGGGCGGGGGCGGCCTGGGGGCTCTGCTCACTTTCCTTTCCCGCAGGGTCCCTGGCTCAGGATGGCAGACTGCTCACTTTCCTTTCCCCACAGGGTCCCTGGCTCAGGATGACACATACCAGCTGGCAGTGCAGGAGTCCGTGACGGTGCAGGAGGGCCTGTGCGTCTCCGTGCCCTGTGCCTTCTCCTACCCTGAGAGCTACTGGACTAGTCCCCCAGCTCACGGCTACTGGTTCCGGGCCGGGGCGAAGGAAGATCGGGATGCTCCCGTGGCCACAAACGACCCGCGTCGAGCCGTGCAGGAGGAGACCCAGGGCCGATTCCATCTCCTCGGGGACCCCGGGGCCTCCAACTGCTCCCTGGACATCAGAGACGCACAGAGAAGGGACACGGGGACCTACTTCTTTAGAGTGGAGAGAGGGTACACTGTGAAATATAGTTACAAATTAAACCAACTCACTGTGCGTGTGACAGGTAAGGCATGGGTCACGGAGAGGCCACAAGGGTGGCCCGGGCAGGGCTGGGATGCGTCCCCCTTCTTCTCTGGGAGGGACCCAGGGAGACAAGACGCTGGGGCTGGCCTGAGGCAGAGGCAGCTCTTGGGGGCACGCTCGCACCCCCACCTCCAGGGTGTGGGTCTCTGTCCTCTCCTCCCCAGCTCTGTCACAGACACCTGACATCGACATCCGGGGGACCCTAGAATCTGGCCACCCCAGGAAAATTACGTGTTCAGTGCCATGGGCCTGTAAGAGGGGGACGCCCCCCACCTTCTCCTGGATCGGGGTCAACCTCACGCTCCTGGGTCCCAGGACTCCCCGCTCCTCCGTGGTCACCCTCACCCCTGGGCCCCAGCACCACGGCACCAACCTGACCTGTCGGGTGACCTTCCACAGTGGCGTGAGCACAGAGAGGACCATCCGGCTCAACGTGTCCTGTGAGTGCCCAGCCAGGACGCTGCGTCTCTGAGGACCGTGGGCGTCGGGATCGAGAAGCGGGACCTGGGCGGGGTGCCTGGGGACTGTTCTCGGAGGCGTGACTGGGGTGGAGGTGGAGAGAGCTCCAGACCCCAGCACCATGCTCATGGTCATACTGCAGGTGGCCAGTTACTTATTCCTGTTCCAGATGCTCCACGGAAGCTGCTGGTCCGCGTCTTCTGGGGAAATCGCACAGGTGAGCGGGGTGCTGGGGCCCCCCCTCCTCCAGCCGGCCGCAGTTCAGGCCCCCGAACGACCTCTGCGTACCCCAGAGTCGACCCTGTTCCCTCGCATTCGGAGAGCACCACCGTGGCTCCCTCACCCTTCGGCAGGAGGCTGAGAGCCTCACCCGTGTGCAAGCCTCCGGTGATCACACCCGTGTGTGCTGTTGCATATCAAGGTCCGCCTCCTGGGTGGTCTCCCCCAGGCCCGGATATAACAATTCTTCCTCAAACGTCCTCTCCTTTGTCCTGGGACCCTCAGGTTGCCTCTCCTCCCTCCTCCTCACCCCTCCTCCTCAGGTTACGGATCTTCACCCTGACTGGCCTTCGCTTGCAATGCTAGTCTTACTATTTTCCCTTCCTGTGTCTGTGGGAGGACCGTGGACAGAAGGGCCTCTCAGCCCTGCCCTTCTGGCTCTCTGTTTCCGTAGTCCCAGAGGACCTGGCCAACGCCACCTCCCTGACAGTCCAGGAGGGCCAGTCCCTACGCCTGGTGTGTGGAACCGACAGCGAGGCCCCTGCCAGGCTGAGCTGGTCCCGGGGGAGCCTGACGCTGAACCCATCCTACCCCTTGCACCCTGGGGTCCTGGAGCTGCGCCACGTGGTCTCAGGAGATGGCGGAGAATTCACCTGCCGAGCTCAGCACCCGCAGGTGTCCCTCCACGTCTCCCTGAAGCTCGTCGTGTGGGGTGAGTCCAAGCGGGACACCTGCGTTCTGAGGGGGGGCCATGAGCAAGACTAAGGTGTGGACCTAAGGAAACTCACACCTCCACCTCCCCTCTCCTCCAGGTGTTCCTTATTCCTACCCCCAGAGCTGTGGGGAGCAGCAGGGCTCCTGGCCCCTGGTCCTCACCCTGCTGAGGGGGGCCCTCATGGGCGCTGGCTTCCTCCTCACCTACGGCCTCACCTGGATCTACTACACCAGGTGAACAGGTTTCTCAACGTGTCCTGGGTTTGGAGCCACCTTGATGGCTGTACCTGTCTCGTCCTCTCCAGCGCAAACCCTCCCCATTTCAGACCTTGTTTCTCTCTCATTTCAGACCTTGTTTCTCCCATCGGATCAGAGACTCCCACGTGGACAAAGGCCGAAAGGCGTGACTGAGCCCCTTGCTCGAGGCGGCCTGAGGTCTGGGCTCCAGAGTCCGAGCAGGAGGCTGGGGACCCATCCGACCACGGCATCCCCAGACCCACCCCACACAGCTCTGTGGAGCGAGGAGGTGCCCGATGACTCGGCCCTGCGCCCCATCCAGAGATGACCGTCACCTCTGGTCCCTAGGACGCTCCCTGACAGTCGTACCTCGATGGCTGGAAGGCAAGCGAGGAGAGAAACATTTTTAATTATTAACTTGAGTTATATTCCATGTAATATTTTGTTTCTGTGTGCTTACCTGGGTGTGGTTTTGATAAGCCCATAATTCAACCCCATAATATATTGTTATTAATCTCATAATGTTATTTTTTTTAAAGTCAATTTTAAAGTTTTTTTTTTTTTAATTAGGACAAGCAACTCATATTTATCCACACATTAACCTGTTCGATCGCTCTCAATTTCTTCGTGTACGTTCGAGTTTCTCTGGAGTATCGTTTAACTTATTCCTAGTTTTATTGACAATTTCTCGGCATACGTCAGTGTATACGTTTAATTTACGTATATTGTGAAATGATTACCACAGGAAGTTCAGCGAACACCTAACTTCTCGCACTGATGCAATAAAAAGCAAGGAAAGAAAAAGGGGAAATATTTCTCTTTGTGATGAGAACTCAGGATTTACTTGCTTAACAGCTTCCCTGCATGTGGCATAACAGGGTCGGCTACGGTCATCACTCTGTGGAGTGGCACATCCCCAAACTTGTGTATCTGATAGCTGGAAGGTTGCAGCTTTTAACCTCCTTCTTCCATGTCCCCCTCCCTGTCATTTCCATTTTGTCCGAAGATCTTTTTGTATATTTGTTGTGGGGCAGAGATCTGGTGATGAATTCTCCCGGCTGATGTTTGTCTGAAAAAGTGTCATTGATATTAGCTTTGGAAAGATATCTTTATCGAATGAGGAATTCTGGGAAAACATCGTTTCCCTTTCAGTTCTTCAACTTGTTTTGGCATTCGTAGTTTTTAACGAGAATTCTGCTGTCATTTTTATCTTTCTCTGTAGTTTGTCCTTTTCTCTGGCTGGGTTTAGTTTTTTCTTTTTCTCACTGGGTTTGAATGATGTGATTAATATGTGCCTTGGTGTGGGATGTGTAGGTTGACTGTGTGTGTGTGTGTGTGTGTGTGTGGTGTGTGTGTGTGTGTAGAATGAGAATACAGTGATCGATTTATGTTTTAGGAAGTTCCCTTCAGGAGTAGAGTG